CTCTATAGGCGTCTAATTCACATCATACATTCCTCATTAGTTGTACCTTCAAACAAAACAAAGAACCACCTCGTATCAATTAAAACTTCATCAAAAATTTAGTTTAAAAAAAGTGGGGGGCGCGCTGCCCCACGTTACCCTATATAGAAGCTCATTACGTAGGACTGATGAAATCGACCACTGCTCTGCATTGCATATAATATGTGAATCTTCGAGCCTGTCTCCCAGTGCCCGACATTGACTAGTCCGCACAGTTGGACAAAAGACGACCACACTGCGCGTCAGAAACAAATTACTTTATATTCCCTGTATTATCATTGATTATTTAACTGAAATTTCAATAATTTTCAGTGAGAAATTTAGAAATTCTCACACTTGAATACATACAGTCATCCTATAAATGTTTAGTGCAAGCCGTAATAAACCACATCTATTTGAGTCCTAAAAAACCCACCCATTATAAGTTCCATAAAATTTGTAGGTCGTCTAACTTGCTCTAGTCAGTCAGACCTATAAAATTACAGAAGTGACCACCAGATATAATTTTTATGTCAAAGATCATTCTGTAATTTTTGCAATTTTACTCATTCTTAGACGATTTTCTCTTCGTAGAGAAACTAGTTCGTTTTGTTTACGTAGAGAAACTAGTGTCTGTACGTAAAAAGGTAAGAAACCCACACTATACATAATAGAACAATTAGTTTTTCAATAATATTTACATGCATTATACTTTTTGAGACTATAACGTGATCTTTCATATTATTTTTTGTGTTAAGCAACTCGAAAGTCCATAAAACTAGTTTTGAGAAAATTAGTCATTACTAAAAGCCTACAGTGAAGTGTGTGAATTGAGAAAACCAAGGTCAATTGACTTTGTCTGTTTTGCCATGTAACAACACTCAAATATTAAAATAATGTATACACATATTTACTCAAATAGCGATGAGTTAATATAGACTCAAAATTTTAATAAATAAAGGCTGGGAATAAAAAAAGAAGGTCTAACCCTATAGGCATGTATTATTTTTAATGACATGTATAATACACTCACAAAAATTTTTGCAAGCGGGATTTTTCCTACACACCAGATTGCTGAAGAACATGTGGTTTTTTAAATTTCTCATAATTTAGCTTCCTAGTTAAGAAAAACTAGCAATACAGTGCTATCAGATTCTGAGCAAGTACAATAATAGATGCCTCAAGGTTTTTTAAAAACTCTAAAGTGATAAGTCTATTCCTTCATAAATTATGAGGAGGAAACTCAAAAAAATTTATGATGGATTGCATTGTATGAGTTTTGAGAAACGAGAGCAACAAAGAACTGGGTTAATTGGTTCAATACATATATTTTTTATTGATTTTTGGTCTATGACATGAATGAGTTACTGTTTTCAATCAGAGATATATCAAGTTAATGATGCACAACTGACCTGCTGTTTGAAAAATTTACAATTATGCATTTATTCAAAAGTGATGGCAAATATAATAATAGAGGTTGATAGGTACTCTCCAGCATCAACTTTTTATTAACCAACATAAAAGAAAAATAGTTTGAAACTAGGTATAAATGATATGAGTGATAGAAGGTAAAAAAACATTTTTCCTATTTTGCCTGAGTTTTTTAAATAAAACCCTGGGTTTTTTAATGAAACTTGGTTGGGCTGGGTAATTTAAAAAAAGCCCTGGGTATTTGGCATTCCTGTAATATGGTGGTGTGTTCCACATTAACTCCAATTAAATAATGTTTTTTTCTTCAAGTTTTCCATGCAAGTTATGCAGCTTCCAAGTAGGATTGTTACACTGACCAATTATTTTATGATGTAGTGTTCAATGACCTGAATAATACTCTTCTTTGTTGATTTTAGAATCATCAGATATGAAATGATATAACATACTCATTGTTCTTGATGTTATTCACAGCTACGTTGCTGTTGAATACAACGAGTTGAATGGTATTATTATCCTATAAGTTACATCGTCACTTTAATGGGAAGGCACAACTAGATGAATGATCCCATTAATCTTATAATATCGTTATCTATACAAGATCGGCACGAAATCTTCGAGATAAGCAGCCTCATAGAAATGCCTGGAGAAGATATACAGAGCCCCTGTAAAATTCAGGTCTGGATACGCGGTCCAGCCCGGGCCCAGGAATCCTGCCCAGAAGCCGTATGACCCGAACGTAATGATGGTATGGTTGCAGAGGGTCAACAAATGCATGTCCTCCGAGGCCGACCCTGTTGGAAGATAGGAAAGGTTTAATAGGGTTGTGTAGGTATTTGCGGTTTCATGGAGTCAACATACACAATACAGTACACATGCCCTCTGCAGCGCAACATATTGGTGGTAGCATATTGATGAATTTGGCATTACAAAATGGGACTAATCCCGTTTTGAGGATGGTGCCATTCCCAAAATCTGACTCTATGCTTTCTGATTCCATGCTTGTGAGAAGCGTTTAAACAGCTTGAGATATGGACCACTGAAACAACCTAGTAACAAATTGAAAACACTTGTGAATAACCAATTCATGAACATGATGGCTGCATGTTTAACTAATAGGCGGCTTCTGCAGATGTTATTGCAGAAAGAAGCATGCTCCAGCTTTTATGCCAGTGTTGCTGGCAGTGGTATCAAAACACATCAGCTGGATTCACCAATTCTGCTTGGTATCTTGTGAACAAATAATCACGCGGAAACTTAACTACAATAACACATTATCGGCATATAATATGTAAAGCAGCAGCTAATTTACACTGAATAAGGGGAAATCAAAAGAATTGCATCATTCGACACATTTAAATTCGATATTTCCATAAAAAACGACCTACCCGGCATCGTAAACAAAAATTAGTATTTTTGTCCAACCAGTATATATTGGAACTTTTCATTCGCTTTTTTTTGGCTTTATATTGTGATCAAAAGGAAAACATTTGGGGGGTACTCGACTTATGGTACTCGAATTTTTCTCATCTATTTCATTTGAACTAATATAGGTATTGCCCTAACAAAATTTAGCGCCGAGGGCGGCTCTGGATTAGGGAACCCCTTGGACTCGGGCAGCATAGTAAATCAGCTTCTCTATGTCGGCTTTTTGGTCTACATTGCAATCCCAAGTCAGACAGCTACGAGAGCCTGGTCCTTAGACTGACGGCCGTTGAGCGGTATGTATTAGGGTCGTCCCCGTATCAAAGGCAGCTCTGGCCGAGTCTGACAACGTGATTAAAAAAATCGCCCTCCTTCCTCTGCAGTGAGAGGAAGGCAGGGGCAATTAAATTTATACGTGATTTACTATCAATGCCTGTTTCTGTAACTCGCTGAATACAAAGAGCATGCTTAAGAAAATTCAGAATCGTGGGTAATAATGTTCGTGGAAAAAATATTTTTCCTTCACATCCGAAGAAATAATGCAAAAAGTTATCGATAATCAACTTATGGTAAAAATATAATCGTTGTGTAACCAAACAATATCGGTGTTGTGTGTTCTCTGCTATGAGGAACGCTACCACATCGAAATTTACCAAAGCATTGCAAAATGGACAAAAAATTTAACCATGATGCTATCAATTTTTGATTGTATTGAATTAACTGATAACGGCTTTCCACTCTATTGTATTGATATGCATATATTGGTCAATTATATTGATAAGCTCTATTATTGGTAAGCATTTACAGCCATAGAGAACATACAATCCCCAGTTCGAAATTCTCGCAGTGATTGCGGCCGTTCGCCGAATAGACGTTCGCAAATGCGCAAATCTAGGCCGTTTTTTCCGAATTCACCTCGCGTCTAAAGAGTCTAGCGACGAAATGGCCTCATCTGCCCCAAACAGCGCGATGCCACGGTCGGCAAAAGCTGCCGGTGACTACTGGCCGCACTTTTGCCGCGGCCTACGTCGAATATGCCGGCGGTAACGATTCAAGCGTTGAGTTGGCAGTGAGAGGAACGGGGTGAAGGGTGAAGAAGGAGGAGGAATATCGAAAGAACCGTCGAGGAATAAATCTTCATGTTTAGCTAATACCGGAACAGACTAATTGATTCACCCAATTGATTTCTCTAAAATTATGAGACCTACATGATTTTTTATTTGCGACAATTTTATTCTATTCCATTCGATACTACAGCGAATCTATATCACCAGTAATTGTGGAACTAGTTCCATCCAGTTTTTTTGTGTATTCAGTTTATTGACATATAATTTCAATGAAAAACGCGAAATCAGTGAATAATCTGATAGCAAATATCAAAATAAATGTACAAAACAATAGAAATACCAAATGAACGCCAAACTGGAACGAACAGGACTGAACGTATTGCAGAGCACCCCTGCTTTTCAAATTCAAGTAACGGCCCGGCTTACAATTTTGTAACGGCTTACAATTTAAGGTATCATTCGCAACTGTAGGGGGGAATTTTGGTTAGTGCACTTCATGAAAATATCTGCTTTCGTTTAAGGGCTTCTCTCCAGCCTAACTTACTCCATTGCTATCGAAAGACACGCTCAATCCACTCAATTCTAGTTAAACGTTATGATTATGATCTTGAATGAACTTTTTGTCTCAGAGTTGTGCAGAAATGTGCCAGCGTAAACACTTTCAAGACAGGTCCGTAAGCAACTTGATCGTTTTAATTTCAAAACGTTCAGCATCAAGCTGCGTCCGACGCGACTGTCAGTGTGTAAACACGAGTCGAACTATTCCCGAGAGGTAGAAATTTGTCATCAACGAGCACTCGGATCAACTGTTGGCTATCAAATAACATCAGCGTCGCTGGACGCTGACTCCCTATAAGTACGACTATTTGGACATTTATGCACGAACATTTTTGGCTAAATTTTTTTTATGCTGGATCTTTCCGGGGATTGAGGGAGTGAAGCAGGCTGTAATTCAGAATGAGTAATATTTGATCAAGTGCAGATATCATTATATCTTCAAATCAGACACCTGATTTTCCTTCTGTATTTATCTGATATTTTGGAACTGATCGAGATGACAGACTCAGTAAAACTTGAGTACGTCTGTGAGCTCGTTCACTGATCAAAACTGATGAAATCCATTATGTTGCAGGCAAATGTTGAATGCAGCTAAGCCCGACTGTAACTTTGATTGCCCGCAAAGCTGTCGACGTCCGAGGAGGAATCGGGTAGACAGTCTCAAATTCCACGGCACTGACTGCAGTGATGTCGGTTGCAGGAGTGACCTGATATGCTGTCAAATTTCTACTTATTGCACCTCACTATGATTGTTAATAAAGGTGAGAAATCAAATGGACGCCCAAGTTTGCATCTCTACTTCATGATGAAGAGACTTATTCAGCTCTACTAGACAGTTACTGTGCGAGCAGCGTGGGGGATGCTGTCACATTGACACCCGACCTAACTAAGGTGTCACATTGGCATCCAACATAACGCATTACTCGCACATGTTCAAAGACGACACTATCTTCAAGGCACTAACTATATAACTATACAGATGTCAGAGGACGATTCATCGCAAGTAGCATTTTGTGTGGCACAAGTTCGTCTAAGTTCTTTGTCTGCTCTACTCAAATTTTATGTCAACGAATGGTGATATATATATATATGAGGACGAATCAAAGATTCAATTTTTCATTTATAGGGATCTTACTAAAGGCAAATGCTGAGATATTTCTTGGTACCGTATCCTTGGTATTTTTTCCGGACGTAGCAGTGCCAGGCCACGATGGATCGCCGCCTCTGATTATCGTTCATCCGCCCTTATTTGGGGCAACTGATGCACGATGCTGTTGCTTGCTTCTCGCCGCTGGTAGTGTTGCAAGGGAGGTCGATCTGGGATTGTGCCCACAAACACGTCCAGTCCTCTCTTGAAAGTCTCCAGGGTGAACTCCCCCTCTCTTAACGTCTCTTAGATCCTTTGGTAGGACGTTAAACAGCCTAGGCCCTGCCACGGAAAGTGATCCTTCCCGCAGGGGTTGAAATCTGACTGCAAATCTGTTACGTAGTGGGTGGACCTTGCACAGTCTCCCCCTTTTCTCGTTGTGATGTATCTCAATCCGTTGTGATGTGTCTCCGGTATTCCCATTTCAGTAACAACATGGTGTGGTCAGGAGAACATCGTGGCTTTGCGTGCGCGCATATTTCGAGAACAATCAATCCGTGATTGCATCGCTAAGAGCTTTTCGGAGGCGGTTCAAAATTTCACGCAATGATGCTCTTCCTCAGGCGAACACAATTCGGTCCTGGGTTAGGCAGTTGGAGGCGACTGGTAGAACACTAAGAAGATATACACATGGCCGACGCAGGTCTTCAGAACACCAGAAAATGTCGAGAGGGTGATAGCAGCAGTCATCCACTCGCCAAGACGTTCTGCACGAAGGCATGCCATTGCTTTGGAAATCTCCTCACGCAGTTTTAAGAGGATTCTGCATAGGATTTACATTTCCATCCCTACAAAATGATGATAGCCCAACAATTGAACGAAGCAGACTTTACCGGCCGCCGAAATCTGTGTGAGAACATGCTTGAACAGATAGCTCCCGACGCAGCGTTCTTCAGCACTGATGAGGCGACTTTTCACTTCTGTTGGACTGTAAATCAGCAAAATTTTCGTTACTAGGCTGAAGATAACCCACAAATTATCCATCAAAGACCACTAAATTCTCCCAAATTAACGATCTGGTGTACCATCTCACAATTTGGTGTGATAGGCCCATACTTCTTTGAGGAGGAGGGAGTAACCGTGACGCTATGCTGCAATGATGCAAAATGTCTTGCAGCCCAAGATGGAAAACATTGTTGAAAATGAAGCATTGGGAGACATGTGGTTGCAGCAGGATAGGGTTACAGCTCACATAGCCCAAATGTCACTCAATATTTTGAGATGCATGTTTCCCGGACGTCTGGTGTCTCTGAGGGGTGATTTACAGTGGCCTGGGAGGTCACCTGATTTGTGCATTTGCGATTTTTTGGGGGGACATCGAAAAGAAAGGGTGTTCAGAAGTCGCCCTCACACCGTACCATAGCTAAGGGAACGGATTATTGCAGAGGTTATTGCTATTCCTCACCATATGTGTGAACGTGGTGTAGGAAACTTTCGAGAATGGCTGCAACAGTGTGTTGCAGCTAACGGCCACCATCTTCCTGATATTGTTTTCAAAACATAAGCATTCTAAATTGTATGTTATGCTAACCTAGTAGGAAATAACCTTTCTTTTTCATGTACCTCCATTACTCTTTTATTTCGCCTCAAAACTGCTCAATCGGTTCTGCCCCACCAGGTATAATACCACATGCCCTCCACAATCATTTTATATAGCTCCACAAAGTAAGGGAGCTATATATAAAGTGGAGGGCGCGTGATTTTTTTTTTTTTTGCCCTTTCCCGGCCGAGAAGCTTTGCCGCAATATTGCGCTGTTGTGGACATTCCTGCGCTGTTGACCCCCTGGAGTTGCGCTGGGGTGAACGTTGGTACAGGCAAGTTCACACGCGGCTGGCTTCCAGACTGAGGCGATTTCTGACTGGGTTGTCGACATAACCACTATTGCAGTGGCCAGTGAAATCGACACTGGTAAGCAGTGAAGAGTTGATATGAGATTAAATTACACTTAGCTCACCTACAGTTCGGTGAAAGAACCACGCGCTGCTCACAAGTCTCGAACGCGGGTCTAGACGATGTACAGCCTGAGCCTCACCGCAGCACGCTACGACGACGCGTGTGCTACTCGTTATTTTTTTAAATTAACTGGTAACGGCTATGGGCAATAAATAAAATTTCCTTACTCGACTGTGCAGAAGATAATTTTTCAGTTTCTTAAATAAATAACGAGTAGTAGTTTATAAAAATAAACACTTAAAATTAAATGCTTTCCTGGTATAGATGAGCTATACCCATCTTCCATTCTGGTTTTTACGTGCTGTGAAAGAGTTGCTCGTATTTCCATTATTCGGGAAAACTAGAAAATCGCGATTTTTCGTTAGCTTTCCAAAGAGCAATTTTTTTAAATAGTTGTTCCCAAACTGTGGTATGCGAGGTAATTCCAGAAGATATTCTCTTCCATATCATATCATAGTGATGAAAAATAAGTGTGATGTGCTGGCCTGACGCCGATTCTTGTGTTTTTGTGACTTATTCACAGGAGATCTAACAACAGGTTCCTTGACCGGATCTTTTCAAAACTAACGAGAGCCTGGAATAGCCACTAAACTCCCACCAAGTTTCGATATGGTGCTAGTCTGAACATATGGTTTCAAGTCTGAACATATATTTCTCCATAGCTTTGTCTAGTCTGTTCTTGAACGCGTTCATACTGGGAGCGTCAACGATGTAATCAGGGAGGCTGTTCCACACGTCGATGTCTCGAAGCGAGAATTAGTGCTGTTGCGTCGATTAGTTGCAACGCAGATTATTTAGTTTCTAGCTGTGGCCCCTGGTGTTGGTTCTTGTTTAAAATTCTAGTAATCCAGAGACCTTGTTTCCTGCCTAAGACATCATAATGTTTCCAGCCCAACACACCTGGCAATGATTAAGTTGCCACACGCCGCCATAATTGTACCAGTGACACACCATTGAATTTGAATTGAGCGTATACTTGATTGTCTTACATTAGAGTATTAAAAAATAAGTGAAAATATGAAGATTATGTGATTTTTAAGCGTAAATTTAAGCAACCGAGAACGAATGATGATTGAAAACAAATTAAACACGCACGTACGCACACGCGCGAGCGGGCACCGACTGAATTTTTACATATATATTTCGTGCGGAGAAAATCGGATGTTATCCGATAAAATCGTTGCTGATTCAGAAAATCGGATGTTAGATTTAGAAAATAAATCAACAGTTAGAGTTAGAAAAGGTTAGGTCATGTTCATTTATGTTTAAATATTAAAAAATAACTTGGCTGACTGGCCTAACCCTAGATCCCTATAGTATAGAAATGCTGATTCTACAGATTCTGCAACTGGCTGCCGATTCCATAGAATCGGAAATTTCGCGATTTAGGCTCGACATATATACGTGCATTTAGTTATTGTAGTTAGGCAGAAGTTCTTCATTTATACAGGTTTGATTGAAGACCAGAGCGTACTTTTTATTTACGATTTTCTTACTTTTTTTTCGATAAGCCGAACGAAATTTCTAGCTGGAGCTTGGAGATCAAAAAGCAGATTACCGAATGACATTTTAATAGAATGCGACGTTTCGAATATATCAATATTCATTATCAAGCAAGTGAACAGTTATTACAACGCTTTATTAAAATGTCATTCGGTAATCTGCTTTTTGATCTCCAAGCTCAAGCTAGAAATTTCGTTCGGCTTATCGAAAAAAACAATAAGAAAATCGTAAATAAAAAGTACGCTCTGGTCTTCAATCAAACCTGTATAAGTGCATTTAGTTATGCAGGTGCAGACAAGCTCGCCCATGAATCTCCGGGAGGATTCTGCCCACTACCTTCCGCTGTAGGCTTGAAAGGCAGTCTCTGAGCAGTTTATAGGCTGGGTACGTTCGGCCATGCCAACTCTTTCCATACTCACAGGAGACTATAAAGTCGGCAAGGCGACTCTGACTAGTCGCTGATTGCAATCGAGTGGCCGAGCAGACCCATAATAACCTTACCGTAACCATAGCGAGTCTCACGCAGAGTCTATCATACCTTAATTTTTGTTAGGGTGGGGATTTGGGAGATTTCACGATAATTATTCAAGGATTTTGATTATACTGAAGTGATTGTTTGCAAACCATATCTATTTTCGTTACCCAGATACATTCAAATTCGCAAGCAAAATTGTATACGAGACATCAGTACCTCTCCAAGATATGCTCATGTGACTTCTCTCTCACCTTGCAACAAAAAAGTGTTCGGAAAAGCAAGTTTGTCCGTCATTTTAGTGGTGGCGACGACGTCATCTGACGTGACGACAAAAACGACGTTGTCGAACCTCTTCGTAAAAAAGATGAACGCCCGACGAAGATATCCTTCGTACGATTTGCCGACATCGTGTACGGAGTATAACTGGTAGTAACGAATGACAGTGATTCACATTCATGATTCACTCGTCAATCAATGCGATTTTATGTTAAATGTGAATGAAGCTAGGTTTAGTTTTTCAGAAATAACCTTTCTTAGAAAACATACGTGATACTATATTCTGTCAATTTAAATTCGGGATACAAAATTTTTTCGTGACTAGCTAAAGGTATTTGGAAAATTTAAAAATTCTTCATTAACCAACCATTATGTTCTATGGAACTATTTTATGTTTGAATGGAAATATCAAACGAAATTTCATTTTTCATAATGTTTTAAATCAATTTGAGTATTATTTAATCATTGAATGTTCTAAAAGACTATATATCAATAAATGATTATGCCTACTGAAATATATATTTTTTTATTATATGAGCTAAAAATCTATATTATATGATAAGCATATGTACTAAAATGATATATTGATTAATTATTATACGTAATAAAAATATCTATCGAATAATTATTATACGAACTATAGACATGATGCGCGGGTAATCAGTGAGCCTGACGTGAACACCCACGAAGACCAAAGGTTGCGACGGATCTTCCATCGTAGCGCTAGAGGCGACTGAGGCTAGACGGTCATAGGCCTGTCAAAATAGTGACAACTTGAGAGAAAAATTAGTTCAATGTTGTCATATGTCTATAAGAATACCGAATTTTGTACTGGAAAATTTGTGCAATGTTGTTATGGCCTATAAAAATAGCGCCTTTTCAATTGATGAATTAGTACAGTGGTGTCATAGGCCTGTAAATATTGTAATTCCTTACTAAAAATGGGTACAATATTATCATTGGTCTGTAAAAATAGCGGCTTGTTCCCTGAAAAATTCGTGCAATGCACCTCGCTGATAGATGATGTGTGATAAGTGATTTATACCGATGAAACTATGTAAACAAGTAAGTAAAGTGACATTTTTTCAAAATAAAGTAAATTGCCTCATGTGTGATTTGAGTAGGGCCCATACTGTAGGTTATTTATACTGCTAATGATCAGACAACTCAGAGTGATTCCATTAGGGTACGTCGGTTATGTATAGTGTAAACGATCTAACAACCTAGAGCGATTCAATTAAAGCATGCTTGTTATTTATAGTGAAAACTATCAAAAAGTGCTGTCACAGGATCAGGAACATATGTCCCTGAAAGTATTATACTAGTGATTTTTTCTGAGGTATTAACTCATGAGATTGATTTTAAAAATTCAATGTACAGAGGGCTTGATTAACTCAACATTGCTGAGAAATGTTTTAAAAGTTCTTTCAGTTTTTTTCAACTCAAACTAAAGTAAATACCAACTTTAGTATGTAGGGAATCGTTGTTCGTAGCGATTATATAATCTTGATAACGATATGATCGCGATAAGTAGAGTCGACCCATGTGAAATTAAGGAAAAATCTACTATATAAGTTAAGTGGTCCAATCCTTCTCATGAAATCCCCAACATTTTTACCTTTTTCTGAATTTCATCAAGAAATTCAAATTCTTTACGAAGTTCATCCCGGTACGCAGCGAAGGAAGTTATTTCTAGAGGATAATCTGTAAATACATTGACATTAATTAATAATGAGGTTAAATTATTGATTTACTGAGATTAATTATTGATTAAATTTTAACTTCAATTATGGATTTAAATTTTACTACTACGAACCAACGTGTGACTATTGAGATCAATAATCGATTATTTCACGCGTTCGCGCGATATTCATTTCAAAAGATTCTTTAAAAATCGATGATATACATATTCATGTACAAATAAGATTTTTTATAATAGGCAAAGATCTATATAAGCCTGGAGCTGCTTCTGACACCACGAGTCTTCAAGATATTTATGAAAAATATATATTTTCATAACCTATTATTTGCCTATTTTCAACTGCATTCAAACATTGAAGGATTGTAGACTTTATATTATAACAATATAACTGGAAACTTCCATAATTAAAAGGAGCGTATTGATGCCAGGGAATACCTTTAAATTTGCTTCATCCTAGATTAAATAATTCTAAATGGTGCTTGTACATTCCACTGCCTCTCGGAATTATATTCATATACTTACATGCAAAACACTACAAATTTCCAACTAGTTTTACGAAGTTGATTTACGTTTAATAAATCATAAGGCGTTTCTCTGGCGTTAGTCAATTTCAAACACGGATATATAATAGATTATGATGATGTTGAAAAATATTCTTAATGCTCTGTATCGATGAAACTTTGATCAGGTCACGTATAATAAAAAAGATTTTAATTTCATTCGACTATTAGTTGAATTCAGTCATAACCTTCCATTATAAAAGCATGAGGTCCCAGTAAGCCAGCGGCAGCAAGTTGCTGCGCCTGATAGCTGTACTCAACCCAGCCGAAGTCGCCGCCGATTGAGATCCAGTCTTTGTCTTCAACTGAAAAAGGAAATTTGGCTCTGGTTTAACAAGATAATGTACATTATTGATTAAATACTAAATACGGTGCAGGATTTTATGAACATCTTCGTGTTCAAACATCATGAATCAGTAATAGTGGATTTAATAGAACTATGAATCATATCCCAGTCAATCACCAATGTTGGCAACGCTGTCGATTAGTGTGGGTTACTGCATATCGCGGAAGATCCGACCAATCGAAGATTTGGGAGTCGAATTTCCCTGAATAATCTATGCAGGTGCATGGCGAACTATCGACTGTGGGTTTATCGTTGCAGATCGAAGTACCTGAGTGTGGGCAACTATACAGAGCAAACCGAAAAATTCATGCGCAAATATATCGGTTGGCTATTCAATCTAATAGAATAATGAATCGGAAATTGATATGTACTTTAATTTACGATTACCCAGTTGAAATCATGTTCAAAATTGTGTTCAATCTAGTTCAATTGATAGAATGCGCTATATCGGGTCTATTTCTGATGCCAGTTACGATTATTGTACCACGTAATTATTTTAATACTTTGAAATACGTAAGTGTTTTACAAGCTTTCCCAGTTTGAACGCTTCCGCGAAGAGGAACTTTCAAGCCTTAATGTTACCTTAACCTTAATAATTTTCATGTGATATCGATTAGTTTTCCAGAAATTTTTTCTTATAACTCGAGTGTAAAGAAAACGTTTTTTACGTGCATGATATAAATCTCCTGCTATCGACTAAAAGTCGTATGAATAAACTGCTTCAAAGCTTAGCAAAATTTTTCATTAAAAGATCTCATCATAAACTTCTTCATAGTTCATATTCAAAAGATTAAAATTTTCAACGAGGCTGATTTGAGGCAATAAAAAATTGAGAAATAAATTTCGATGTAAATTGATCAGCTCCATTATAAAATTTATATAAACTAGAGAACTAACTTGGAAATTAATTGAGGAAATATGGAAGTAACTGCATTTCGATTGCCCGATAATCGTAAAAAGTGGCAAGAGAGACAGTGATTGTCTCCTTTACAATACGAGTAATATTATTTTTTCGATTGAATAGAAACTGCGTTCATTCCTCTAAAATATATATAAATTAATAATCTGTAAACAACTCCACCATGAATGTGGCTATTCCTCGATTTACTTGACGATTGCAAGCCATTCGTTTCGTAGTTACAGTACATAGTTGATAGAGCTCGCTGTGGGAAGGTGCCATGGTGGTCAAGTTGACTGGGCGTCAACTCGGACGCGAAATTCCTGCGTTCGAATCACGGAGCTGCAGTCGACGTTAATCCGGTAAGAGAATTTAGCGGTGAATTACTTGTAACTTCTCTGTATCATTAGTAATTGAATTTGTTAGATTGTAATTGATATATACGATGCAAATATTCGACAGCAAAGATATATAATCTGACATGTCATAGTAACTAGTAAAGTGTCGATGATCTCGGAGAGAGAGAGAAAACAAATTTTAATTTTGTTTTCGCGTAGTCGACAAACGGTCAAACTCAACTGCCGGGCATTTGGCAATTAATATGGATTAGACATCGATTAATGTAGATTCGACGTAGACAAATGATGATTCGACATCGATTAATGCAGATTCTACTTTAGCTAGTGTAGATACGACATCGTTCGATGCAGATTATTCGACTCAATAAATTATCGGGTGCAGAAACGTCAAAGATCTTCACCGAATCGGCATAGAATGCTCCTCTTTAATCGGTGCTGCGCCCCGCGACATTGCCCTCCTACTTATCGACCCCCAACTGGGATTTGCCTTCTTCGATTGAGCAGGAATCTGCAGCAATATTCTTGATCGAAACACATCAATCTCCATCGATCGATCAAGACTTGATTGACTGAGATATCAACAATTCATTTGCCAATGAGTAAAACCTAAATATCGACTCAGTTTTTGTTATTACTAGTATCGTTTTGACCCAGTAGCCCGGCGAAATGAGCATATCAATGCTACGTATACTCTCTGCTCATACTGCGGGATAGGCAGTGAGTCACAATTTGGACAATATAACTCGCTCTTTTCTCGACTAATAACTTAGTTTTTTCTAGTAAGCAACGAGCAAAATTGTGCAATTTCATATAATGTATTCCAAAATGTCTAACCCTGAGATGTCTAAGACAGAATAAAAACTACCAATGAAAACACGCAATTATTATTTCATTAAATTTTGTTGTGTTTATTTTACACCCAAGCTGATATTTGAGAAATTATTTTACCGTAATTTCTCTCTAATATTGCCGTCCACTTTACTCAAACAGGCTGGGTAAAGGGGTACCAGTCTATTGGTTATCATCCCAATACTGGGGAGACTGAAGTACCCAGTCTCATGACCATCATCAAGTAACTCACACATGCTGGATACAGGGATACCCAGAGTCTTTGAGGTCATTCTATTACTTACACATGCTGGTGCAGGGAAACCCATGCTCTTAGAAATCATCTAATTATTCACACATGCTGGTACAGGGATATCCATTCTCTTGGAAATCATCTAATTACTCACACATGCTGGGTACAGGGATACCCATTCTCTTGGAAATCATCTAATTACTCACACATGCTGGGTACAGGGATACCCAAGCTCCTGAAAATCATCTAATTACTCAGACATGCTGGATACAGGGATACCCATTTTCTTGGAAATCATCTAATTACTCACACATGCTGGGTACAGGGATGCCCATTCTCTTGGAAATCATCTAATTACTCACACATGCTGGGTACAGGGATACCCATGCTCTTGGAAATCATCCCATTCCTGCACAGGGTGCCGCTGCAAGGAGGACAGGCTTGGGCATATCCTTCTGTGTTGATACATTTGTTCAGATAAGGTATAGACAGTCTCTTAAACACATCCTTGACTCTATCGTGGAGTGATGGCATCAAAAATCGCGTTACGCTGTAATTCTTCAAGGCGTACAGTGATGCATATTCGCCCATGAGGTTTCCGAGCCTACCGAGAGGTCGGAACGTCATAACGGGCGCCGGTACTCCGTGCCACGTGCCCGTGCTTGCAAGCCGTACGCGAATGTCGACCGCGGTCTTCGGTAACGGGCGGGAGTCGACGCACGTGGCGCATGCGTAAGTTTCTGCGAAATCCTACGGGGAACAAAGTGCTGGTAAGCGCGAGGAATTTACAATTGCTTAAAATTGAAAATTTAGTATGAAGATTCTACCGATTTTTCTAAATGAATGACAAGAGAAGCAATATGATTGTTATATTGCGAGGAAAGTATTTGCGATAACCAGTAGGGTGCCTGTCACACAAATTTTGGGTATAAGGAACGAAACATTATGATCGCATTTGAGAAATCAGAAAATTACTAGAGAAACCCAGTTAACGTTCTTGCAGGTACTCAATGTTATTCATCTTCACTTGAAAAATATACACTAAAGAAATGCAGTGAACCAAAATGGATAGTTGATAAAAAATTAATTTTTCGCAACAGGAATTGAATAAGGCTGTACTACTCTTTCGAGTGATTCCATCACTTTTTTAAATAACAAAGCACACCAATTATTACTGGGATTGTATGTTTTTTAATTGTGACACTGTATTGTCTATGTAGAGATTCATACAACAATCAAATTTTTATTGCAGTGCTGTATAAATTATCAGGAATTCATCCCAAGTGTGTTGTCCTGACCCACTCATTTCTCTCTGCAGAGGCACTACTGACCTTTAGAATAGCCAGATTCTCCGTCAAGTCCTCTTCAGTTTCAGTTAACGTTTCTTTTATTAATTTGATGATATTTGTGTTTTCTATTCCTGTGACGTTGATGATCAAATCCAGCAACTGGTTGGCAACTCGAACCGAAAAACAGGAATATTAGGTTAGGCATATACGGTAATATACAGTTAGGCAGAATTTGTACTTAAAATTATGTATTGTTCAGGTTCCGGGAGTAATCGTTAATAAGACCTATTCTCAGGTCAATGATAACAATGAGCCTGGTAACAATGAGTAACTCCATATTCTATATAGGTTTGTATTATTTTAAACTTAATATAGGGTGTTGAAAATTTTTTAGGTTCTACTTTTTTGACCCAGACTCGTTCAGACATCGACGTGAATCCATTCACAGTTGAATTTTCGATGATCGAACAACAAAGAAAATGCGACAAATTCACACTGTTTTCAATAGAATCTTTATTGGCTTTTCCGTAATCAGCCAATATGGAAACGTTACTAAAATTTTATTGCACAATGATTCAAATATAAATGACTGTTTTATGATTCAGATCCTCCGTGAATTAAAAAATAACTTATATTTAATTTCGGGAGTATAGAAGAAAACGCCCACAGGAGAGAGATGCTTGGAAATTGGGACAGCCTTGTCGTCTGATAACGTATTCTTATTTGGAAATATATTCTTATGTAATTTTTATTACGTATTCTTGTTTTAAATATATTCTTATGTATTTCTATTTTGAAATGTATTCTTTGGTAGTTTTATTACGCATTCTTAAATTGAAATATATTCATATGTATTTTTATTATGCATTCATATGCATCATTATTAAGCATTATTATTTTGAAATGAATTCTTACGTATTTTTATTATGCATTTCTTAGCATAGTTTATTCAGCATATGATAAAATAGCCTCGAGCTTCAGTGTACATTCTATCCACTTTCATCCACTACTCACTCCTAAATAATATATTCTATACATTTAATCCATTCAAAGTACTTATGAATCAGTAATGAACTTTGCTTGCAGCTTATGGTGAATCCAGCAATTTATGATTCCAATATTCAATATACAAGAAATAAAAGGCCACTAGATTGCTTTAATCGCAGATTCACTAGAAATTTGAAAGCGAAGAAAACACCACAAAAATTTAGCATATTGAAAACGTTTCGGAGACCAGCTCCATCGTCAGTTCGATAAATCTAGAACACAGATAAAGGTAGAAAATTAGTTTAGAGTTAATAAAAAACACAGAAGTTAAAAACCTATATTTACAGACAAAGGGTAGAATAATAAAGTAAGTACCTATCTATTCACAATTTCTGATGGATATGAACTACAGGCAGCATTTAAACTAGGCTTCTCTATAAAAATATACAATGATTCCAAAATACGCAGATCGGAAGCACCAGAACTATAACCTAAAACCTTAAAGTCTGTGTCGTACACTGGAACGTTGCACTGTTCGGCGTGAGTGCGCACAGCCGAATGAGAAGGGCGCGATAGTAACTGCCCAGTCCTATAACTCCTCCCTCTATGCTCAGCGACCCTAGTGTAAAAGTTGCGTGCCGTCATCCCAACGTACACAGATGCACATCGTGCACAACTAAATTTATAAACTAGGGACGATCGCATATTAGAAGGAAGGATATCTTTGTACCTAAAAAACGAACCTATTTTGAAATTATTCACCAGTAGGATAAGAAGATTAATGTCCGGGAAGTATTTCATAAACAAAACTTTTAATTCTCTTGACAACTTCGGACGCATGGCCAAAGTATGGAAGAGAACAGTAAACAACGCTTCTACTATCAGGCTCTGGAATAACTTCACTGTATCGCTTAGACATAAATTCCTTAATCTGGGTAAACACTAAGCCAGAACGAAATCCATTAAGCAAGAAGACATTGCGCAAAAATTCAAATTCAGAATGCATGTAATGGAAAGTCGAGCATATACGAAAGCCGCGGTGTAATAGTGTTTGCAGCCCGTTTAACTTGAATTTAAAAGAACAAAAACTAAAAATGCTGGTGCTTAGGCCGGTGAAAGTTGGTTTTCTGTAAACAGATGTTTGAAAACGACCATTAAATTTAGTAATATTGCAGTCTAAAAAGACAAACTATTGTTCGATTCAAGTTCCATGGTAAATTTAATGGAATTATGTTGCTAGTTTAGGTAATCAAAGAAAAGTTTTACATGAGAAGGATGCATGAAAATAAGAAAGGTGTCATCGACGTATCTGTTATAAAAAATATCTTAAAATCAGGAGGACAATTGGTCAGCCATGAAACCTCGTGAAAACACATAAAAATATTCGCAAAGGTTGGGCCGAGGGGAAGACCCATGCCCAAACCGTCAATCTGTTTGTAAAATTTACCAGCAAATATGAAAATCGAATTTAGAACTGATAGTTCTAGCAGGGATTTAAAAAAATTGCGGTTCAAACCAATAACAGTTTCATGAATATCCTTAAACAGAGTATTTAGTCAGATCTCTATAGTTTCAAAAAGCGGTATATTTGTAAATAAATTTTCTACGTCAAAAGAGGCCATTGTTAAGCCCTGAACATCAGTAAAATCTTTCAAGCTAAGACAGTTTAAGACAGGAACTAAAAATTTAGCCAGTTTAAAACTAGGGGTATTATATGCGGCAAAAATTGGTCGGAATTGAAACTTTGAGGAAAAATCAGACTTATGAATTTTAGGTAAGCCATATAAAATCCCAGGCCATGAACCGGAGGCATAAAGTTTAGAGTACGTATCAGATGAGAAGGCAGACGAGTCTTTGAGTTTTCGCAGAAAGCTATTGATTTTATCTTCGATTTTCAAAACAGTTTTAGAGATTGGATCGGTAATTTCAATAAATTTTGAAGGATCAGTAATGAGTGCAGAAAGGCTACTGTTATATCGACTACGATCAACCAAACCACGCCTCTGCTCTTGTCAGGTTTACAAATGATCAAGTCTTTATTTTTGGCCAAGTTTTTCAATAAAAGCGTGTCACTGGGCTGAAATACAGAAGAAAAAATTTTGTATGACTTAAAGCCGTAAAAATGACGATAGGCTAAGCTCTGCAAGTTCCCAAGAAACTCTGGGCGGTTAGGAGTAGGAACATCCTTTATGCTGAGAGCTGCTAAAAAAATTTATAAAAGTCCAACTTAAAAATTGGCTGACAAAAATCAAGGCCAAAAGCCAGCAAGAATTTGATACGGGGTTCCAAGTTGAAAGAACTATAGTTGAACACCACCATATCTGGGTCAATAGGACGAATTTCGTTGTGGATGTCGAGGTTACTGAGTTTCCTTTGAAGTGTTTGGCTGGTAACTTTCCTGAATGCTTCTGTAGACCGTCTAGCATGTTGGCGGATAGCAAAGGCGTCGAGGGTGGAAAACAAACGAGCAAGTTTCACTTCACTTTCGGCAGCCAAATCGGTTAAAGATTTCAGCGTCTTCCTCTTTGAGGATAATTCCCATATTCTACCACGATTTATAAAAATTTGAATTATGAAGGCACCGTTTGTAAAGCTTAAATCTCAGGAACTTGGGGAAAACACCATAAACCTTACACTTCACCATTGAATAAATATTTAATGAAGTCTTTGCCTTCTTTCGGAGAAGATCACAGTATTTTCTAAAGAGGTGGCAACCATCTTCGCCGTATTTTGATCGTACACAATTAAAAAAGTCACTAGATTGCTTTAATCGCATATTCACTTGAATCGAACAATAGTTTGTCCTTTTTAGACTGCAATATTACTAAATCTAAAGGCCGTTTTCAAACATCTGTTTACAGAAAACCAACTTTCACCGGCCTAAGCACCAGCTTTTTTAGTTTTTATTCCTTTAGATTCAAGTTAATTAAACGGGCTTCAAACACTATTACACTGTGACTTTCGTATATGCTCGACTTTCCATTCCATGCATTCTGAATTTGAATTTTTGCGCAATATCTTCTCGCTTAATGGATTTCCTTCTGGCTTGGTGTTTACCCAGATTAAGAAATTCATGTCTAAGCGATATTGTGAAGTTGTTCCAGAGCCTGATAGTAGAAGCGTTGTTTACTGTTCTCTTCCATACTTCGGCCATGCGTCCGAAGTTATGTCAAGAGAATTAAAAGTTTTGTTTATGAAATACTTCCCGGACAATAATCTTCGTATCTTACTGGTGAATAATTTCAAAATAGGTTCGTTTTTTAGGTACAAAGATATCCTTCCTTCTCATATGCGATCGTCCCTAGTTTATATATTTAGTTGTGCACGATGTGCATCTGCGTACGTTAGGATGACGGCACGCAACTTTTACACTAGGGTCGCTGAGCATAGAGGGAGGAGTTATAGGACTGGGCAGTTACTGTGGGTTGTTTGGGTTTTGGGTTGTTGGTGTTCTGTGTTGTTGGGGTTCTGGGTTGTTGGTGTTCCGGGTAGTTGGGGTTGTGGAGCGTTGGGGTTGTTGGTAGTTGGGGTTGTTGGTAGTTTGGGTTATTAGTAGTTTGGGTTGTTGGTAGTTTGGGTTGTTGGTAGTTTGAGTTGTTGGTAGCTTGGGCTGTTGGTAGTTTGGGTTATTGGTAGTTTGGGTTGTTGCTAGTTGGGGTTGTTGTTAGTTTGGATTGTTGGTAGTTGGAGTTGTTGGTAGTTTGGGTTGTTGGTAGTTTGGGTTGCTGGTAGTTGGGGTTGTTGTTAGTTGGGGTTGTTGGTAGTTGGGGTTGCTGTTAGTTGGGGTTGTTGGTAGTTGGGGTTGTTGGTAGTTTGAGTTGCTGGTAGTTGGGGTTGTTGGTAGTTTGGGTTGTTGTTGTTGATGTTCCCCGAGCCCCGGTCACGCCAGGAAGCCCGCGCTGCGCAAGAAAGCCGCCACCCGAGCCGGCTCGGACCATATTTGCGCGATGGTTGTTATGCCTGCCCGGAGCCTGGGCGCTGCCAGATCCGGGCACTCAAGCAGAAGATGCTTGACGTATGGGGGAGTGAATGACATTGGGGGCACAGGTCCGTTTGAGTGCTGTCCAGGCAGTGTTTGTAAGAGTTTAGTGGAAGATGGTGACCGCAGCGGAGTCTGCTGAGGTGCACCCTGTCTGCTCGGCTCAACTGCTGTTCTGTATGGCTGATTTCTGGTGGTATGTCGTCAATGATGCTGTTAATTGGTAGATTTAAGAGTGCATTCCGGGTTAGGTGTGTGTGTGTATGTGTTTAATGAAGTTGGCTGGGTCTGTGGGCGGAGGTATGGAATTAATTATTGTGATATAGTAGTTGTATGGAGTGTTGGAAATTTGTCTGGGTGTATGGGTTTAGGTACTGAAAGTGATGGCAGGGACTGAGGGGCTTGTTGAGTGCTGATGCAAGGAATTGGGCGCCTCTCATGTCTAGGTGTTCTTTCATAGAGAGGACTTTGGTTTCTGCATGGACGTGACTGGATGGTGTGGTTTGGGTGCTGCCAAAAGCGATTCTGAGGGCTGTGTTTGGTGTGGTTTGTAGGTGTTTGTGAAGTGTGGGTGAAATTTTGCGTACCCAGGCTGGACTTGCATAGTCTAGCACTGAGCGTATGTATTTTTGTACACTAGTGTGAGGGCTTCTTTGTTCTGTCCAAATGTTGTTCCTGGGAGGGCTCTGAGTGTGTTTAGCCTAGGTCTGTATTTTGTTTTTATGACCTGTATGTGTGGCCCGAAAGACCTAGAAGTGTTGTAAGTGACACCTAGAATCTTGGTTTCATGTGTGCGTGGTATGATGGTGTTGTTAGATATGCTAAATTTTTGTGGTGTTTTCTTCGCTTTTAAATTTCTAGTGAATCTGCGATTAAAGCAATCTAGTGACTTTTTTACATATATATATATATTATATATGATCTAAATTGCAATAAATTTAATCAAGATATATTTTTCCTGAGTCATGAGATGGTCCACATTTTCATCCTACTATATATCGTCAACAAAAACAAGTAGATCTTTCTATCTTTTCACCATATAACTTTATTTGTCGGAAATTGTAGGAAATCTGTCGCAGGATCTGTGATGCTGATTTTCAAGATTTCCGAACTTATCATTCTGATATTTATATAGCAATTATTCACTTGGAAGGAAAATAAGGATATTAATTTGCAACTTGAATTATGAGAGTGAAGAGCTTGTCAAGTGCTCTGGCTTCTCTTGCACGGATATTTTTTATCTCAAGCATATAATATTTATGGGATTATCTTGGCCAGTACAAGGAATGCCAGTACTGATATTGCGACCTGGTACACTGTTTATAATAAGACTATTTCTTGAGCCCAGAAATAGCAGCTCAACGATCACTCCGTTGTATAAAACTGTATAATGTTCGGAAAAAATGCTGTACAACGATCGGGCCGGCATTTCAGTGACCTGCCAGTGAAATAAATACCGCGTGCAAAAAAAACACTCTGTCGCCGTTTATTTTCCAATTTAACACACGAATTTCGTACCACATATGAAAATTTGCGAAAATGATTATTTTCATTCTTGAACGGCACATGATAATTTGCGAAAATGATTATTTTCATTTTTGAACGGCACATGAAAACTTACGAAAATGATTATTTTCATTCTTGAACAGCCGGTCACTAGGACGCCCGTAGACCGTTTCTTGACCGTTACTTCACCGTTATTTCGAAGAGTGTACTTCAGATCAAAAAGCTAAGGTATCCCTGAAAGTTTGACGAGTGTATGAGCTACTACACCTTTTTTAACCCACGTTTGATTGTCATGATTGGAAAATAAGAAAATGGTTGTCACGGTGATTCATATTGACACATTACCAATTTAACCACGACTTTCCTGGAATAAAAACTAATGTTCAGAGTAGTATAGATAATAGGCCTACCGTCACACTTTCCATAAACAGCTCAAATCATAGGTCACCACAACCATTTACTCCGAATCTTGTCCAACAAAATTTTCGACGTGGTCAACCTTCCACGTTTCTTCTAACATGAATTGGAAGATTAAGGAGAAATTTCATCTTTCTAGCACACTCCAGGCAACACAGCTAGCCAGTAGAGATGGATAGTCGTCATCTATAGTAACCACGTCGTAGCGTCATCTATAGACGCTAAGAGTCACCGAGCGTCTTTGCGGTTGCAAACATCGAATTGATCCGTTGGTGTATAATAGATCCCGTCCCCTTCAATTATTAGGAGGTCTTAGTCTTAGGCGTAGGCAATAGTCATATAAAAAGTTATAATATATTCGAAAGGTTTTAGGATAGTGTAGATTCGGAAACTTCTAATCGTATAATCTGGCGATTGCATCCGTTTCACCAGATGTATTTTAATGGTAGTATCATAATGATGGGAAATGCCTTATTTCGGTGAAGATGTCGACGGTACCATCGTGCACCATCGCAACAGCCCGCAGGAATAATTTGAACCTTTTTGCTTACTGAGCTTGTCGCGCAAATCGTGCGCACGTAGTTCAGCTACATGTGCATCGAAAGCAGCACGTATTGTAGTGACTAATTGCTTGTGTGTAGTCTACAATGGCGGGACCTCATTAACGAGAAGTTGTAGCAACGACATCGAGGGCATTCTTTAATAGGGTACGAAACTGTTTACTAAATTTCCGACGTGTCGCGGTCATAGACATTTCCACCAGCTGGCTAATTCACTATTGAGAAGAAGCAATCTCGCTGGCATCTACAATGCTCCACATACAGTGAGGTTCCAGGTAGCTTAACAGCCATTAGATAAATATACTTGAAAACACTTCAGCGCTCAACCCGATGCTGACTATATTTGGGATCGCAATTCATTTCCGTTTAGTTTTGTTGTGATCGCTCTGCTTCGTCAACTCGTGTCGTCCCACAGTGGAATTATCTTCTTGCCACTTCTAATTCCGCGTAAAGACAAGGATTAACCTAACCTAAGGATCCTAAGGATTAACCTTCGTTGTAACCTAATATGATAGTTATAAATTTCTTGGTCTATGGCTAATGTATGGATGTGCTCCGCGGTGTCTTCAATGAGCATCCGTTGCATTTTATTCTTGTTACCTCTGACGAGTTAGTTCCCAGGCAAGGCAACCAATTCGAACTCTGACGTGGACACGTATTACCAGCAAGAATCCTACGCTCAAAAGAAGCAAACGAGGCGAGACTCGTCATTCCCATCAAAGCTCTGCGCAGCGTCCATGCACCGTTTCACTTGGCGTTAATCTTGTCAATCTACTTCCATTCTTTAGAGTACGAGTCTCGTCTCTATGTGTAGAAAGCTGCCCTCCGTCTTCCTGCCCTTCGAAGTTTTCCCGTCTGATGCGTTACGTCTACCGTATTGTCTCGCACGATGTAACATTCCACAGGCGTATAATATTTTGACCATTCTATTGTTGAACTACGAGATATCCTAGGGGCCGTAGTTTGGAGACCCCTTGCCTTGAGTGTAAATGATTATCCTTCGTAATTCGCACCCCTGAACATATCTCGAACTGTAACTAGCGAATAATGGACTGTCGCAAATCAGAAGGTATGAATAAACATTTTTATAAACAATTAAAACTTTATTGCTTCTATTTGAAGTGTAAACTGCTGTCTTCCTCTTCGGCACCGCTTGTCAGCTGCAATAACATTGGAAATTATTATATATTATATCGTTTACATGCGCAAATAATCGTTATTGCCGATTATTGTTAAATTAAATCCGGTTAAATCTACACAAATCCGATAAAATTCTGCACGCATCTCCGGTCAAGTGGTTTGAACTTAGATCCGGTCATATACCTCAATTACGCTTGATTTGACAGTGTAATAATTGGGAAGACCATCGTAAATTATGTCAATACTGAAGATGAGGCTGAGGAGGCACGTACCAGGTGAGGCAGGAGAACAAGGGGACATCGTCCTGCAGGCGGGCGAGGCCACGCAGTCCTCCAGGTCAAGTGTCAACTTGTGGCGCTGGTGGCGCAGCTCTTGCAGCTGCTCCTTCAGCTGCTGGATGTAGTCCTGCGGGAGTGTGGGGGTGAGAGGTGGGGACCTGGTGTCCATGCAAGACCATCTTTCTGCTTCGCAAATTGAATTGTTTGAAATGCGAATTGTTCCATCTGCTCCAAGCGTTCTCTCAGAGTCTTCTGCTCGGCTACATTGAAAATTTTAATCCCGAAGACTTTGTTTTGCCTTATTACATGCTTCTTAAACGATGAGATGATGTGCATTGCTAAAACTACACGGAGAGTTTTGAGTTTCTTCACATGCTTTTTTTCATTATGAGGAAGTGGGACGTTTCTAGAAACAAACAGAACATTTGTTTCAATTTTTCGAAAGAAACCGACCATACATATTTAATTTTTCGAAATAAAGTGCAATGTTGTTTATAAACAGAAGTGAGAATATGAAAAGAAGTACTATCAAAATTGAAAATTTGGGATAAATTGACATAAAAATAGGGGATAGTATGTAGAAATTTACTCACTTGAATAAAATGGGATTTGTCTTCTTCTAGCCATCGGATGAAGGAGAAGGAGGAGGAGGAGGGGGCGTTTTTTAGTTTTAGTTTAATTGTATTGTTCTTTATGGCGTGATTTGATATGAGCTTGTAGATTGCCTTTAGTGGTACAAGTTTTATCGCAGTATGGGCATGCATGAAGATTATCAACTTTATAATTGTCATTGGAGGCAGGCAGGTTTCGGGGGGATACACGTCTGGTACCCCCCTGCACAGAGGGGACCGCCAGACGTTGCTCACTTCTAGCCGCCGATGCGAAGCTGTAACACAGAGAAAATTGCATCGATTGAAAAACTGAAAAAAATGCACAGGTTTAAATCTCAGCTAAAAAATTTATTAAATGCGGTCACCACACGGAATTTTTTCTCTATATTTTTTTCTCTATAATTAAAATTTAGTTCCTGCAGATGAAAAAATTAATAACATTAACATTTAATATAATTCAATTCAGGCATGTTACCTCAAATAGTTAAATACATTTTGAAACTTTGATTACATAGGGGATACCTTAGCGTATCTCTCGTCTCATTTGCAGAGGAGAAGTCGACTGTGCACAGGATGCTGAGTCGGACGTTGCCCTCTAATGAGCCTCGAAGCAGCGGCGTCAAAGAGTTGCCGCGATAAGTGGCGACGGATCTGGAAACGTACAAAATGAAAACTATTAGATGCAACCATTGTCTAATGTTTAAGATATTTACAGAACTGATTTAAAATAACTATTAAAATAAACTATTATGAAAAGGTGGTAGGCTTTAGCGACGACTCACCCTCTACTCAGCTGTGTAACGGCCGTTTTCAGAAAGCATAGGTCTAGGTTGATATTTTTTCCTTCATTGGAGGTTTCATCCTTGGTGCTGCCAGTGTTCGCCATCTTCTCAGACCCTGCAAGGTCGACGATTAGGAGGTGCGCCCCTCTCGCAGCCACGCCGCCATCTGAAGAACCCGCCTCCGTATACTCGACTCTCTGCGCATAGAAAACTATATATTACACGTCATTGCAGTAATGTATCCAAAAACAATTTCATTGTGTAATTAAAAAGAAAAGTCATCATAATGAGTTAACAAGCAGTTTTTAAGAGCATGCATCAAGGTGGTCAGCCGCGATAGTGATGCCACTCCGAACCTACGATGATGCCACTCCGAGCTAGTTTGCCGTAAATCAGCTGATGATGTTCGTGACGGTACGGCCAAAGGACACTCACGATTCTAAAGATGACGTGTGACCTGGAGCTGCGGGCATTCCGGGGGGTTGGCCACACCTGCCGGTTCATCTCGCCTCGTTGCAGCAGTGAGAGTAGCTGCGTAAAATCAGATCAATTTAGTGACAGGCTCAGCTGTCTATGAATCGATCTGAAATTTTGAACACATGCGTAGAGTTGGAGACAATGCACGAATCAGTTGACAGAATAAATAATTTTGAAAATTTACAAAATTTTTATGTAATAAAAAAACTTTAAAATTAATTTTTTAATATTTGAAAATAAAATTAGATTTTAAACGCATATTATTTATGGTGAAAATTCATTACGTTCATAAGATTACGCGTTACCTGTTCCTCGGTCTCGACAACTTCCTCTGTGAGGCCCCGCAGATAGAAGTCGCCAGAAACGTGTTTTACGACCGTCAAAGGCCCATTGCCAGGTGCGTTGGCGCGGCCAACCAGTAGGTCGTAGAACTTCTTCAGGTAGAGCTCCGCAATGGAGACTGTTACGTGTTTACGTATTGAACAAATTAGAGTAGAACTACTATGCTGTCAATAGTAGGTCATGTAAGGCCAGCAAGCCTTTCATACTTTAGTTGTATACCAGATTCCACCTAATACAGTTCCCTAAACCTATGGTCTCGTCCCTGCTCATCTTCATCCTTATAGCTAGCCTGGACTTAGTCATACGACTAGCAAACGTAACATGGTGGCAGCGGACAGTATCAATTGAATGTGAAGATGGAAGAGAGCAACTCACAACCTACCTACACGAAAATGGCGGCATTGAAAATGCCCGACCGCATGACGTTAGGGAACAACGCAGTGAAGAATTGGAAAATCTTTAAACAACGCTGGGAGACCTACACCGTGATTACGGACTTCAGCTCAATCTCCACAGTAAAGCAGAAAGCACTTTTCATTCATTGCCTTGATGATGACGCCCTGGATGCATACAACACATTCCAACTGGCTGAAGACGCGACAGTCAACCAGATTATTCGAGCGTTCGACAACTTCATCATCGGAGAAGCTAACGAAACCTACGAACGTTTTATGTTCAACAGAAGAAACCAAGAAGAAGGAGAATGCTTCGAACTTTTCTACGCCGAACTTCAAAGATTGATTAAGACGTGCAACTACTGCGACAACTGCAAAACGTCACTGCTGAAAGATAGAATTGTTTTAGGCATACATGATGCAAATATTCAAAAGGAACTGTTGAAGACGCGCAATTTAACGCTAGAGAAAACGGTGGATATCTGTAAAGCAAATGAAAAAGCGGTGACTCATAATAAAACACTACGCCCAGAAGTTAACAAGGTGATCGACTCCAAGAAAGAAGCTTCNATTACCATACTACAACTTCAGAGATGAAATGACCATCGAAGACGGCCTAATTCTGAGAGGAGAAAGAATTATCATCCCATCATCACTACGCTACGACATGAAGAAGAAAATACATTCTGGACACTTGGGCATAAATTCGTGTCTACGCAGAGCACGAACGTACGTGTACTGGCCCGGAATGTCCGCCGAGATCAAACAGTTCGTAGAACAGTGCCCAACATGCGCCTCACTTCAAAGAAATCAACCGGCTCAACCACTATTCTTGCGGAAACTACCCCAAAGACCGTGGCAATATTTAGGGATAGACATTTTTACTATCAAAGGAAGAAACTACCTCATAACTGTTGACTATTATAGCCAGTTCTTTGAAGTCGACTACTTGAAGGATGACTTGACCTCGAACAATATTATCAGTAAACTAAAGGCGCACTTCGCGAGATACGGCATCCCCGACAAAATAGTCAGCGACAACGGCCCACAATTAGTTTCCAACGAATTTGAAAAATTCTGCCAAATGTACCAAATCCATCATGAAACATCATCACCAGGAAACAGCAAATCTAATGGAGCGGCAGAAGCAGCAGTTAAAATTGCAAAAACCCTTATGAAGAAATGTCACTACAAGAAAGAAGACCCATACCTAGCTCTACTAAGCTATAGAAACACCCCACAAGAAGGAATTTCGTACAGTCCAGCCCAACGGTTGATGGGACGTCGTACCAAGACCCTAATTCCAACAAACCCATCACTACTACGACCAGATGCTCCGGAACAGGAGAAATTAACGGCACAACGAGAACGAAAACAACAGCAAATAGGCAACCGAACGAAAGACAGGAAGGAACTTAGCCCGCTGAAAACAAATGACACAGTCAGAATGCAGCCTTTGAGAAATGAAGAAATTTGGAAACCAGCCACAGTAAAGGAAGAGATCAGCAACCGATCATACAACGTCGAGACAGAGGAAGGAAAACAGTTCAGACGCAACAGGCAGCATTTACGAAGAGACCAGTCAATCGTCTCGGAAACAACCAAAGAACCCAACAAACAGTCTCCTACCAAAACCGAAAATAAGAACACTCCTACCATCCCGAAATCGCCGTCGACGTCAACTCTACCAACAACTTCTACGGAACAAGCTGTCTCTCCCGAAGTGAAGTCGAGAAGCGGACGAACCATAAGGCGACCGCAACGTTACCAATAGTTTTAATGTCGATTGTTTCTTTGTGTCTGTCTTTGTATTGTTCTACATCTAGATTGATGTACTATGCAAAATTAGGAAATTAATCTACTTCATTGCGTCCTCTTTGTATTGTTTGAAGGGGAGATGTTACTTGTTTACGTATTGAACAAATTAGAGTAGAACTACTATGCTGTCAATAGTAGGTCATGTAAGGCCAGCAAGCCTTTCATACTTCAGTAAGTTCAGTTGTATACCAGATTCCACCTAATACAGTTCCCTAAACCTGTGGTCTCGTCTCTGCTCATCTTCATCCTTATAGCTAGCCTGGACTTAGTCATACGACTAGCAAACGTAACAGAGACTCTGAAAAAAAAAGTCAGCATCAGTGAGCAAGTTATGGGAACATTGAAAATTTCATTCTTACTGACAAACATAATGACAAATTGACAAACATAACATAGTGATGTCGGCACTGAAGAGTAGGCCTGATGTGGCCTGTCGCCGATTCCTAATTTTCGTGCCTTGTTCACAGAATATCTAAAATCGTGTCATTTGACCGTATATTTTCAGGACTGACGATAGTTCGAAATAGCTACTAGAATTCCACAGGGTTCGATATGGTGCTAGGCATCTGGCATTTCAAGTCTGAACATACATTTTTCAATTTGCTTCATCTAGTCTGTTCATTAACGCGTTCATACTCGGAGCGCCAACGACATTGTGTGAAACATTGGCTTGTGTGAAACATTGTGTGAAACATTGAAAATCATTGTGTGAAACATGAAAAAAATTATGATCACAAGTCTGTGAGAAGGCATGAGCTATGTTTGAAGAAGTGCACCACAAATGCAGTTAGCAAGAAAACTCATGATGTCTGACACTCAAGTTATTATCCATTGGTTTTATTACCAATGTGAAAAATTCTTCAGATAATGACACTAGGTAATGGAATATACTGGACGCATTTAGCAGTGCTCTACAATGAACCAAAGCCAACCCACCTTTATTATGCTTAACAAAGTTTTCTCGTGACAAAAACTTTGATGTGACTGATATTATAGTTGACTTCCCGCAACACAAAACAGTAACAAGTGGTTGTTCAATCAAATAATGTGTTTCTAGATGGATAATATTGAATATCAGATTTGTACTTTTATTAAAAACCTTGTAACATAAGAATAACCAGTTGGTCCTGTCTTACCCCATGCCTCCAATGCTCACTTTTTTTAATCTGTACAGAAAACTATGTTAGATGCAAAATGTCAGAGTTGTAGCTTAGAAGCCCATTGCATAGATACACCTTGTGATAGGTTTAGGATTTTTTAATTATTCATGGTATAGATGTTACGGGCTTGTTAGTGATTTCGGTCCTGTCTTACCCCACTGACTATACTACAAAGTTCAAACTAAGTAACCCATTGAAAATCATTTGATAAATCCAAGTGCAACAAGTGCCCTGTCGAGGGACATTTATGCAACCTCAAAATGGACTACATACATAAGAGTTACAACCCGCCACGGTGACTGATCCAGTCTCAAAAAGCTGGTGGTCCTGTAGTTTGGCGCGTGCAAGAACAAAATGACATGAAGGCTGACGTGGTGCGTTTTGCCGGTGCGCTTCATCGAAGCTTCAATAAGCGTATCGCCAAGTGTCTTGGTGACAAGGCTGCTGATTCTGCAATTTAAGACGTTCCTTCCATAGTATGATAGTTCATCTACTTGCTGAAGAAAATCGCGAAGAGTGCGTGGAAGATTACACTCATTCAGCGGCCGGCGTTTGGCTTGTTAACCTGGCAGCTAGACACGAGAACCTTTGGTCGTCTCTGAACGTGAAGCTGGCTCGGAAGTACATCGCATCCTACATAGCTGCCAGCCTGCCATTCACGAGTCACTCTTATCTGGCATTGGCAGGGATAATTGGCTGTCCCCTGCTGTCAGTGGTCCAATAACTGACATTAAGGTGACACAACCAAGCTCTCGGTGTGATTTTAGACTTCATCTAAAATTCTAAATGTAACAACCCAAAGTGGAGACCGTGTTGTCACTGTTCTCAATGAACAGTCTGTCTATCAGTCTTTGTACTGCCACCCAAAAGTATACCGTGTAGCTGGTCTATCTGCCTATTTACTCTTGGACTTAGGTCTTCAACTTAGCGGCTTGGGTAAGGTACCGGTAGCGAGTATTTTTGGTGAGTAAATGTAATTTATTGTAATCTTAGATAATAAATAATATAACAGTAGAGTATATAGTTAACTACTTTGATGTAGATGATGATGTTCAACTTGAATATTACCGTCAACCGGGGCTACTCAGGACAGATTTGAACGATTAGTTTTAAATAACAGTTAATAACTTCTTACGATGAAACATTTCATAAACAAGTTACGTGATCATTAACTTCCCGTGATCATTAACTTCCCGTGATCATTAACTTCACGTGATCATTAACTTCCCGTGATCATTAACTTCCCATGATCATTAACTTCCCGTGATCATTAACTTCACGTGGTCATTAACTTCACGTGATCATTAACTTCATGTGGTATTTAACTTCCCGTGATCATTAACTTTGCGTGATCATTAACTTCCTGTGATCATTAACTTCCTGAAAGGAATGTTTTAGTGACAACCAGCCTATCTTTTGGAGAAATAAATCATAGTTTAGGTCAATTACTTTTCATTCTGTAATGCCTGGTGCACAATTCTATACATGACATGCTATGCACAATTTTAAGATGACTGATGATGCACTAATTTTTCGATAAGTGAAATTTTTTTCGCTGAGCAAGGAAAATGTGACCAATATTCTTTGTTTTTAATCAATTTTTTTCGTAATTGAAGCCTTTGCTAACTGAGGTTCTACCCTTAATGCGTTTTTGGGGGTGTCCCGAATAGCCCCAGGGGGGTGTCCCGAGTAGCCCCGCCGTACGGAAATGGCTGCCATTTCTTTTTGGAATTAGATAGGCAAATTCTGTCAATTACGTTTTCAAGCCGACACCTGGGTGCAACTTTTATGTAAGTAAAATTTTTTAATTTTTTAATACGGCGAACATTTTTTTTGCTTCATACCTTAGCAGTTGTAACTTTACAAAACATAGTTTTTCACCATTTTTTTCAGGAATTTTTCAAAGCAAGTAAATGTAGTATTTTTCGACTTCCTTTATACTAGATAGATAGGAACATTAGTTACGTTTATGCCACTATTTTTAGTTTTGCGATATTCCAATTAGTTTCGCTACTACAACAGTTTTACGCCGTGTCATAGGCCTGTCCCGAGTAGCCCCGCCTGTCCCAAGTAGCCCCGGTTGACGGTAGTTCACATAGAATGCACTGACCAATTTTAAATTTCCAGAGGCGATTGTAGAAACTTTTATTCAACAATGCGATTGCAGCAGCATCAGGGAGGTCAGCACAACACCACTTTGCAGCAGCGGGCAAAACTCCGATGGATGCTTCCGCCTGTCGGCAGCTTGGCGCTGGAACGATTACTGGATAAAGCGGCTCGATTATTTTACGCAGTTGATCGCCAGCAAGGCCTTCGCCCA